TGTCTCAAAAAATAAATAAATAAATAAATAAATAAAAATTTCAGGGCAGCACCTGTGGCTCAAAGGAGTAGAGTGCCAGCCCATATGCTCCCATGTGCCCCCATATGCCGGAGGTGTCGGGTTCAAACCCAGCCCTGGCCAAAAAAAAAAAGAAGTTCAGATCGGTAATCAATCCACCAAGCTGTTTGATCTCCAGGAAATTAGTAAGTAACTTTCACTTTCTGTTTTACTGTTTGAATTTTTTTTATACAGTCTCATTTTGTTGCCCTCAGTAGAGTGCTGTAGCATCGCAGTTCACAGCAACCTCGAACTCTTGGGCTCAAGCGATTCTCTTGTCTCAGCCTTCCAAGTAGCTGGCACCCGCCACAAGGCCCAACAAAATTTTAGAGACGAGGTCTCGCTCTGGCTAGGTCTGGTCTTGAATCTGTGAGCTCAGGCAAGCCACCGCCTCGGCCTCCCAGAGTGCTAGGATTACAGGTGGGAGCCGCCGCCTCCAGCCTGTTTGAATTTTTTAAACAAAATAATGAAAGTGCTTTTATTAAAAACATATGGGGGGGGGCAAAAACATTACATTCACTTTAAGAAGAAAAAAAGTGCAGGTGCGTGGAAGGACTGTAAAAATCCTGTGGTTGAGCACGATTACACAAATGTCATGGGGACGTTTGTTTCTAAAATGTTAGTACCTTATTTTGAAGGCAATTCCCAAAGATAAATGAGGCTAAATATGGGCCCAAGAATCCTAAGAAAACTGTACGGCAAGCACAAGAGCTCAAGTGTGACAAGGCGACACTCCTTCCCTTTTTTCAGGGCCCAAACGGCTTGGGTCCCGTGATAACATTACAGAAAAGTAGCCTGAGGTACCCAGACCAGCTCAAAGCCACAGTCTGCCATCGAGCCAAGTTAGGAGACTTAGTAGGGACCACAGGCTCGAGACTACTGGAACTGGACCAATCATCAAGAGACGCAGGGTCGAGGCCGAGGTTCACTTAGTGCTAACCGGGTGTTGAGGTCAGGTGGGCCCTGTCTAGGCTCACCTGCCGCTGTGCTAGGAAGGTCTCCCAAAGATACACTGTCCAGGAGAAAAGCAGCACGGCCCCAAAGATGCGCTTCTCGGCCGGCATCTCCCACATCGCGTCCAGCGATGCCCACATCCCCATGGCCACCCGGTTCCGCCTGCTGGTTCAGCGTGCACCCGGGCCACACCAACATCCGTTCCTCAGCGCGTCCCTGCGGTGTCACAATGATATCCGTCCCTTCCGTGTGCCCCTACACCGACACCCGCCCCCATCCCACCCTCTCCCGCTGCCGGCAGCGTCACATAAACTCTCTTCCCCTTGCCGACTCTCCCGTGCCTCCTAGTTTCTGCGGGATAAGGAGCAGCACCACCTTCCTTACTTCCGGCTCAAAGGGGGCGGGAGCTCCCGCTCCCACTTCCGGCCCCGCTCGGCCGCCTCGCGCCTTCGGCCTCTCGTGTCTCTCCGGGCTGGCCTCCTGCCCGCGGTTCTGGCTTTCCTCCAGGGCCGTTTAACGCGGCGGACTCCTCAGCTTTCTAACCTCCAGAGCGGCAATTCCATCTCTTTCGTAAGCGGCTTGTCCTGACTGGGCTGCGGCATCTGTCTGGCTTTCGCAGCGCGGAACAGCCGGCTGGTAGTCGGGGCTTAGCCGGAGTCGAGGCTTAGCCGAGCTTGGCCTCGGAGCGGGCGGCCACCCGCCCCCGACGTAGCTGGGAAGAATGGAGAGCGGCTGTCTGGCCGGGTTCTAAAAACCATTCCTCTTAGTGCTGCTGGTGGTATGTGCCTCCCCGATACTTAAAAGCGAGACGAGGTATATAAACGGAGTATTTTGGCCTGTATTCAGTCATTAGAGACGGTAGGGATGAGAATTTTCTTTCTTTGGTATTTTTTTCGGATGGACGTAGGCCTCACTTGGAAACCATGCAGTTGAAGAGAATTTTCTTTCTTTT